GGGGGGGCGTCGAGGTCTGGCAGAAGCCGCCTTCGCGCGTTCCGAAGGCAGCCGTGCGCACTTCTCTTCGGAGGGGCATATCTGAGCCCAGGGTGACGCCGCTTGCTGGAGCTACTGCATGGTGATACCTGGGTAATGATAGCTAATGGTCATTTTTAGTATTAGCAGCTCTTTACAATTAATCGTAATGGCGACGCCGTGATGCAAAGGCACATCGTGCTCCAGCGGAACGCCTCATTCCTTAGCATGGGTAAGTTTTTGGGAGAAAGCAAGGCCAAGTGCCGGGACAGACAGCGGGCTAGTAAGGATGGGCACCATGGCTGTGACCACTAGTCCAGCTGGCTCCCTGCCCTGTCTGTCAGAGACCTCCAGGCGGTCCCCCAGGGACCCAGGGAGGGATCTGGGAGATGGATGGCAGAAAAGCAGAAATTCAAAAGGTACCGATAGCAGAGCACTGCCAGGACTTCAGCTGATGCCTTGACTTGACTCAGTGCAGGAAATTTTGCTCTATCTAGATGCGGAGAGGTTTAACAGACGGGTAAGCTCTTAATCATTTCTGTGGCACATAATTTGTCAGCTTAGTTCCAGTAATGGCCGTGAATAACGACAGGTGGCTAGGAAAGAGCATGGAAGACAACATGTAGCGATACCTGCTCGCATACAGTCTCATCATGCAAAAAATTGTACCTTAACAACATTTTATGCTGGAGTTGCTGCCTTCATTTCTCATAGCCCCCAATGCCTTCCCCCCCTGCCCCTCCCGCGTTTCTCTACTCATTTTTTTTAACCTGTATAATTTCTTAGCATTCACAGAGTCCTAAATTGGCATTAGAAGTTAGGAATCATTTTGTTCTAGGTTACAGTGGAATAATATCATATCCTAAAGTTTCTATATAGAGGGACCCAATTTCTTCCAGTTCATTAATAGGCATCAGCTGCCTTCAGAAATGAGACTCCGTAGGAAGAGACGTAATTGAATGTGGCGGGGCACAGTTCACCACTGTAGAAAGAACCGTTCCTTTTATGGACTAGAAATACCTATTCCTCCCTGCTCTGCATCTTGCTGTGGTGTCAGTACAGCTGTGACGTGTGACTCTTACAACCAGTACAAGCTGAAATTTCAGTTTTGGTGCACGTGTAAAGTATGTATGCATACTTTACATACTTCACATATTTTCATGTAATTTATGTAAATCTATGTAATTTTATGTGATACTTCACATACTTTATATAAAGTAATATTTTATCAATACTATTCAATATCAAATTCATCAGAATTTAAGCTAGTGATTTTCTGCAGTAACTTTAACAGAAGTTAAAATAATGTAAATGAAGCTTGCTCAGCTTCACCTTCTTACATTTTTCTGCTTTCCAACTTGACTGTAAATAACATCAGTAGAAGTTACCTCAGGTATCCAAGGAACTTTGGGCAAATGAACTTCTTTTAATATGGTATCACGATAGTGTCATCTTCTCAAATAACTCCCTAAGAAAACCAAATGTTTGTGCTGCAGTGTGTAGAACTAACCAGGATAGATTAGTTCTAGATTATCTCCTCCACCCAGTAAAACACAGAGCGCTAAATATTTTTGCAGCTCTCCTTTATCTCTTCTCAGACAGTATTTCCACTATATCCACGGGTCCATCTGTAGTAGCATTCCTTAAGAAGTAAGCATTTACAGTATCATTCTTTGGAAAGAATTCTTTTTGCTAAATCTATAAACATTCCTGCATTAGTGTTAATGTGGCTGGTGGGACTGTGGTCTTACTAAGAAGGAGAACCATTATGCTGGCTGAGGACAAAGGTAAAGTCTTGTAGGTCAGACATATATCACACTAAATTGCGTACTGGGCCTCTGGATGGTTACGGTTATGAAGAGGGAACATGACTATTTCTGTTTTCGCTTTCTTCCTCGATCCCTTTAACCAAGAAATAAATGATATGAGAGAGAACAAGAAAGAAACATTTCATCATTTACTGTAATGTTAGGAGCTGTTCGCAGTGCTTGCAAGCAAAAAAAAAAATTGACTGTATGTATATGTGCATGAAATAATTCTAATAGATGACAACAATATGCTATGGAAATTATAGGAAGGAAACAAGATAATGTTATAGCTGCTTTTCTCTAAGAAAGATTGTAACATGAAGACTGAAACTCAGAAATCTTGGACAAGATTAAGAGATTGTGCAGCAGTCTCATGATTACTGAATTATTGCTAACGTCTAAATGTTACCAGTGCTTTCTCTTCAAATTCTGGGTGCTTTGGTGTCTAGCGTAGAATGAAATTAGGACATAAAAAATGTGTTTCTTGCCTGGAAACCTACACAAATTCCTTTACTTCTTTTTTGCTAGAGAATTTCTTTAACCTTGCAGAATAATTATAGCTTTGAAAGATAATGCATTTTATGCATTGAGTTCCTGGCTTTCTAATGCTTAGGGAATGGTCTGTAAATATTTTGAAAATAAAATGGAGTAGAAAACATAGTTCTCTGACCCGTGTATTTTATGTGGCAGTAAGTCAGTTTGAAAGCTGTTTTTCATGTATGAGTATTACTAATGTTGGTAAGGACTCCGTTTTCAAAATCCAGTCTGAATTGACGCTCTGATTTTAACAGGAAGCTATGAAGTACTTCAACATCTAACCCACTTCAACTGGTTTAACTTGATGGTGATTAATATAGCTTTTGCTTTTCCCTTTTGTTTTTGTATTTGCGGTTTTGCCAGGATCTCTTATATTCACGGGGATACATGCAGGATCCCGTTGTGGCCACCTTGGTTCTATAGCAGCAGTGTACTAAGTAAGCGTGTCAGTGGGTGTGTATCAGTGTGCACAATACACTTATACCAGAGAAGTGAAATAACTTGAATTTTAGCCAGCTTGGCAAAATGGACACATGTGGCAATCTTCAGTATGGTGCCGTACCTGTGCTGATTTGTTTGAAGCACGTTTGCTCTGTGTTCATGCTACTGCTCCCTTGTTCTATTGTAAGACTTTCTAGGAAACTGTGTTACTTAGCTTGGCGTCTTCTCAATAGATGGGTTCTTGGAAGCTTTTTGAAGCTGTGCCATTAGAGACAGCCATACAAATTCGCATCTGTATTGGCACCAAGGTAGCTTAAGTGGTCATCTTCACAGATTGAAACAAGTCTGATTCAGCTGAGTTCCTTGTGGAGCCCTTATGTGCCTTTTGTATTTTTACAACTGAAGTCTGGAGGATGCCACAGACACTGTACTGGACTAAGTCCTGCTTTCAGTGCAGCCCATGTTTGACAGCGGAACCTATATCACGCCATCTAAGCAGTTGGGTGGTAGGAATGGCTCTGATTGTATCACCTGTCCAAAGTGTCTGATGAAGAGATTTGCAAGAGTGTGACCAATACAGACTGAAGAGAGAAAAGAAGTGTTGAGAGCTCACGTGTAGGAGAGCCATCACAGCCCAGCCCATGCTTGTGTCAGTCTGTCAGGCTTCTCAAACTGTTCTTGGACTGTTCCTTGTTTCTGGTCTCTGAGAGGTGCAGAGGTGGCCCATGGCCTTTTTCGCTTCTCTTTCCTCTCCTTCAGGTTGGGCCAAGCTAACTTTGACCACAGTTCAGACTGAAGGCGATTGTTCCCACAATAATGCTGCTGTTACTGAGAGGACAATAGTTCTGGCACGGTAAGCATAGCCTCAGTATACAGGGTGTTTTAGGCAAAAACCAGTGCTGATTCTTTCAGCTCAATCTGAACCAGGAAAAATCAGTTTCATCGATAGAAAAGAAGAAAATCAAAATTATCTTCTCAAAGCTGAAGAAATTTGCAAACAGGTGCAAAGTAAAAAAGGATAAACTCAATAAAAATGGACTTAACATCGTTTTAACTTGTTAAAAATGCTAAGGCAGTAGTTAAAGCTTTTCTGCTGAGTATCTGTTTAATTTCCGAAGTGTCTCTTGACAGAAACAATTACATACTTGATATGTGAATGGCCAACAAGACAGTCTGTAATTCTGAGTAACTCTGAAGTGTGCTGAAACCTCTCTGGGTTATTTGTATACAGTTGAATAATAGTATTCAAGAGAATATTAATATGTCTAACACTGAAAGCTAGAAAATACTGGTAGTTAGGTTGCTGGAGCCAAGATCAACTTCTGAATGTGTTGGATGATATCAGACAAATTTACTGGGGAGCTAAATTCAGAAGTTCAAATATGAAAAGAAAGCAAAATCTGTTAGTGGAAGAAAACAATTCCTAATCAAAACCGTTGATACAGGAAAAGGAAATTGACAAAAGCAAATGATGCTTGGAATGATTCGAGAGCTACTCAGTCTTCTAACTTGATCTTGAGCCTGAAATGTCTTTCTGTCCATGGAGGTGATTGAAATAAAACATCTAATTCCTTGGAGCAGCCTGTCAGTTACATACGATTTTGTCTGTATGGTAATAATGCTTCTCAGTCAGAAGAGAGGGATTCTGGTGATACACAGAGATGCTGAAATTGTAAGCCTGTCTCTGTGTCCTGTGTAGACTGCACTTTCAACTTTGCCCTACTATCACTCTGTCTATAGTTTTTCCAAAATAAAATAATGGCCAGAAGTGACAAGCTTGGTGGATGTTGCCAGTTGCTAACCTGCAAAGCTTAGATTCGAACAGTTCTGTGTTTGGCTTGACTTTTCATCTGGCTGAGAATGGAAAACATGAAAAATAATGCCATAATAGCTATCAGTGATGTCATGACATATTATACTTATTTTAAGGCTTATTTTGAGGCATGCAGGAGGCATTTTATGTTTGCAAAGAAAATAATAATTAAGGAAAACCATCTCGAGAATGTGCAGGTGTCTTCAGTCTGCAACTACATGATAAACTACCGACTAAGCAACAAGAAATGGGACATGGTTTTTAGCAGCAAAGTTTTTCTTTTCAGGCCAAGGTCAGAGCTATGTGTTGTAGCCGCTAATTATTTTTGTTGTTCCTCTAGAAGCTGCAGTAAAAGGACCTTGCTTGGCATGCTGAGCAAAGAGAGGAAAAAATTATCTTAGTCTTAGATGGCTCCGAAGTAAGCAGAAGCACTTGAGTGAGGAATGTCCGAGCCTAGTCATTAAAATCAATAGGTCTGGGAAGTCCTGTTATTTCCACTCTGAGATCACTGAAACAGGCTGGCTTGGCCAGTTTTATTTTTTCCATGCCTCTGCTCTGGGTAGCCATTTTACTATTTCTGCCCATGTATTTGCGTAAGAGCTGGGAGCAAACAGTGTGTTCTCTGTGTGTTAACCAAGGAGTGCTTGGTGGTAGGCTGACACAGTTTTACATGATGCGACAAAACTTCACAAGCAACACCAGTTTAAGGAATTTTCCCTTTCTGTCTCACCTCCATGCAGCTGTTCCCAGCTGCAGTGATGCAGCTGTTCACAAGGTTACGCCGTAAATGAAACCAGGGAACTGATGTAGCATTACTTCAGCTCTCCTTTGGTTTCCTTTTTTCCCCTAAGAGTTTTTAGAGAACAGCGCAGCCATAGAGACTACTGTCAGCAAGAGCAAGCGTCTGGCATACAAGGGCAG